GGCAGCTGCGACCTAAGGCAACCACTACGAGGACCCCACCAGCCCCACACCCACCTTTGTTCTCTGCTGGGGGCAACTGCTGTAGACGATGATGATGAAGTAGTTGTGATACGACCATCATACCAACTGATGTGATCTATCCAAGTTCGAATGATCCCCAAGCTACCCTTTCCCTCCTCGTGAGCCCTTCCCTTTCCCTTGATATGGATGCTTCTGTGCTTGTTGCTGTTGTTGAGTAGATGGCTGCTGCTCCTGCTGGAAGGGGGGCGTGTTGGAATACCCCGGCCCCCCAGCAGTTGTTGCCGACGAGGAAGAGAGGCCCCCACCAGCACTCGAACCGACTCCACCACCACCATACCAACTGAAGTCCAATTCTCATCAAGACCAAGAATGCCCTTATCTATTACTCTCTATTCCCACCAGTGGCCATCCCTCGACCCCCACCCTTACTCCAACTACCCCCCTTGTAAGGTGCCCGACCATGGGCAGGCCCCCAGTTGCCCCCACCACTACCCCCACTGGCCCCCTCCCACTCCGCCCCTTCCCCACCCTTCTGCTGCTGCTGCCACGACGATGACGACAGCGCACTCCCCCCACTAGTATTATCCCACTCCCCAGAGTTACTCCACCCACCATGTTGCTGAGGCCCACTATGCAAGCCAGAAATGAATCTTCAGACCTACCGATCGACCCCCCTTGCCCTTGGCAGCCCGAGTCCTGTCCTCCTCCTCTATTATGTGATGGACCATCTCGTACGCTATCTGCGGCGTGCGGTCGCTGAACGAAAGCCAAAGTCTCGGGAAATTTTCTTATCCACTTTTATCTACCTCTCAATGCCATGTAATTCCAACTGTAGAGGCTCGTCAGACGCAGGGTGGTTGCCCTTGGACTTGACCCCCCGGCCCATCACCGTTATATTCCGACAACCTGACCACCTTCCTCCTCCACTACTACCACTCCCATCAACACTACCTGCTTTCTGCGAGATCTGCTTCAGGCGTCTGGCGGCGTTGGCCAATAACAACCCGACAATGCCCGACTCCCCACCAAGATGAGGGAATCGATCGACGTCTATCAACACCTGGGCCACTGACCCCTCTTGATGGTCGCCGCTGCTACGAGGAGGCACCATTATAACGTTAAAGCCCAAGGGGCATCTAAATTCGATCGCTTACATCACAGTTGTGATCAAAGTAAGGCAAGGCAACTCCTCGCAGTGCACCCGCACTATGAAGGATATTCGAAAGATGCGTATCTTATGTCGAAGCGTGAAAGATTCAGAACAGGTCACCTGGCGGATACCACACCTCTTAAACTACAACAAGAACACGTTCCACCTGGGAAAAGGTAGTATGCTGGTAACGGAGTAAAACAGAGAAGGTAACCCAGCAGACCACCAACTCACCCCCGGAAAATTGTAATTTCACCAACAAAGATACCTGTGTGATATTCACACGACAATCTATTGAGATGCACATCGATGTTCCTCGACGACCCTGTCGATGGTGTTTATAAGGACCTTCGCACTGGAGGGTTTACGTACACCCAAACGGACATAGGTAGGCATGCAGTATCTGACAACAAACACATATTCCTCTATCATTCACCTAGCAGGTACTACCCAAATTTCCCCCAACGAATCGGTACACCAGCTGCCTTGCACTCCCCCACAATAGCCTCAGCCAGATCCTCAGAGCCCGTGTCGATCCAAATCCATGACGACCAAGCCTCGCCATACACTCCTGAAACCAGTACGATGAGACACATTCCTCTCGAACTACTTGCGAATCACCTGGGAAGTTGATGTGTTTGAGCCCATCAGTGATGAAAGATCTCCACTCGACCGTCAACTTCCACGTCCTTTGCATATACTC